AGGGGAATAGCTGGCTTGAATGGGACCTCCAATATTTGCCTTTTGAGGAATCTCCATACTGATTTCCATAATGGTTGTACCAATCTGCATTTCCACTGACAGTGGAGAAGGGTTCCTTTTTTCCAGAGCCTCGTTAGAATTTGTTATTGGCTGACTTTCTGATGATAGCCATTCTTTCTGGCACAAGATGATATCTCAGCATTGTTTTAATTGGCATCTCTTCAATGAAACCATTGGTCTTTTAATTTCAATGACAGTACTCTTCTATTACAGTTTTGGAAATACAGGCATTTTTCACTATATTGATTCTACCTATTCAAAAATGAGATATCCTTCTATTTTGTGATACCCTCTTTAATCTCATTTTTCAGAGTACTGTAGTTTTTAATGCAAAGACCTTTCGCTTCCTTTCTCAGATTGATTTTTAGGTGCTTCATTTTTCTTGGTTTAGCCGCAAGAGGTGTTGCTTTCCTTGTTTTCTATCTCAGTGGCTTTGTTATTTATGTAAAGGAGTTCTATTAATTTTTGAGTGTGAACTTTTAGTACAGGGTCTCTCTCCACAGACAGACTTGTAGTGATCCTTCTGTTTTTAGCCACCAAGTGCTAAAATTACAGGTGTGCCCCATCATTCCCAGTCTCAATCACTGCCTCAGCGTGCCCCGAGGGTGAAGACAGCATGAGGCATTTGCGATTGAACCCCGGTCCCTGTACCCTGCTTAAGCAGGCACTGTAGTCTGCTGAGCTATCTGGCTGGCCCCCTTGAACATGAACCTTGTATTCTCCTGCACTACTGAATTTGGTTATTATTTCTAGAAAGCTTTTGGTGAGTTTTTGAACTCTTCTATGTAGAATATCATGTCATTCACAAACAATAATTTAACTTTTCATTTTTCTCTCTATTAATATTCTTTTTATTTCTTTCTCATCTAACTGCTCTGGCTGATGTTTCCAGAATTACACTGAAAAGGCTTGCTGATAATGAGCAACCTTGTCTTGTTCCTGATTTTAGGATGAGAGCTTTCAGTGTTTGAATATTTAATGTGATGTTGGCTGTTGGTTTGTCACAAATAGCTTTTATCAGATTTTTATAAAGACATATTCCAATTTCTGTAGGGCTTTTTATCATGAATGTGTGTTGGACTTTGTTGGGTGCTTCTTTGCACCTACTGAGATGACCGTGTAGTTTTTGGGCTTGGTTCTATTAATGCAGTATACTGCGTTTCCTTATTTGTGTATGGTGAGCCGTCTATGTACCCTTGAGATGGGGCCTAGGGACTTGGCTCAGAGGTAGAATGCTTGCCAAAAAATATACCTCCCCTAAAAACAATTCAACCAAAAAATTACAGTAAAAATAAAAAAGACCAAAAACAGACAAGGTACCTGTATCCTTAAGATGAATCATATTAAGTCATGATGTATAATCATTTGTATGATTTGCTGCATTCTTCTTCCCAATACTTACTGAGGATTTCTGCATCTTTGTTCATGAAAGTGACTGGCCTGTAGTTTTCTTTTTTGATTGGGTCCTTCTCTGCTTTTGGTAGCAGTGTAATGCCCACTTCAAGGAATGGCTTTGGATGGATTGGTTCTCTTTCCATTTTGTTACCAAGATTGAGGAGTAGTGGGATTAAATCTTCTCTAAAGTCCTTGTAGACTATAGCAGTGAATCCTTCAAGACCTGGACCTTTTTGAGGGGGTAGTTTTTTGTCTTAGTTTTTTAAATTTGATTTACTGATATTAGACTATTTAGAATGTGTATGTCTTCTTGACTGGACTTTGGAAATTTATAGATATCAAAGAATGTATACATTAATTCTAAAGTTTCCATCTTATTACACTATAGGTTCTCAAAGTTAGTACTGTTGATCTTCTGGATTTCCACAGGACCCCTTGTGATTTCACCCTTTTCATTTCTCATTGTATGGACTTGGGTCTTTTCTTTCCTTGTTTCTATAAGTGTGGCTAAGCATTGCCTGCTTTATTCCATCATTCAAAGGACTTACTTATGGATTTTTGCTTGTTTACATTGTTTTCTTAGTCTCAATCACATTAATTTCCACTCTTGTCTATATAATTTCTTTTCATGCATAAGTTTTGGATTTAACTTGCTCTTCTTTTCAAGAACCTTGAGGTTAAACATTAGCTGTTAGTTTGTGTTTGCTTAGTGTTTTTGATGTGAGAATTCACTGGTATAAACTTCTCTTATATGAAGTTTCTCACTGAATTCATAAGGTCTAAATATAATATCAGCATTATTGCTTCATTGTAGAAATTGTTCAATTTCTTCTTTAATTACATTTCTGACCCATTTGTTGTTCACAAGGGTATTATTTAACTCCCATATGTTTACATAGTTTTTGTGGTTTCTCTTGCCATTTATTTTCAATTTCATTGCACTATGATCTGATTATATTCATGGAGTAATTTCAGTTCTTCTGGGTTTACTTAAGCATGTTCCATAAGTTAGTATGTGAGGTATTGTTGAGAAAAATGCATTACTGAGAGAAATGTGTATCCTGTTGTTGGCTGGAACACTGCAGATATCTATTAAGACCATTTGTTCAGATGCTTGGTTCAACTCTTAAACTACTTTGTTGAATTTTTGTAGAGCTGATCTATTTGTGACACTGGGGATTTGAGTTCCTCCATTATGATTGTGTTAGTGCACCTTTGATATTTCATATCCATTAATATATATATATATATATATATATATAGTGGTGGCAGTAATTGGTGCGTATATACTATAATCCTTACATATTCCTCTTGATTATTCCCTTCACAAGTATGCAAGGGCCAAGGAGATGGCTCAGTGGAATAAACACTTTCCTGGCAAGTGCAAGGGCCTGAGTTCAATCCCTGGTTCTTCCAAAAACAAAAAATAAAATAAAAAAGCATGACAAGTATGCAGTAACTTTCTTTGTTTATTATAAGCTATTTAAATCCATTTTGTCTTAGTACAGCTACTTTTTCATGTGTCCAAGTTCCTGTTGAATGAAGTATTGTTTTATATTCTTTGACATTTATTATGTGAATTTCTCTTTCTGTTAAATGCATTTTTAAAAAGATTTACTTATTTATTTGGTACAGGGTCTTGCTATGCAGCTCAGGCTCATAGTGATCATTCTGTCCGGGCCTCCCCAGTGCTGGGATTCCAGGCTTGAGAATCACATCTAATTTCAGTGGTCAGCATCATACAGTGGCCAGCATGGTGTGCAGTACTGCGGATCCTTGAGCTTTCCATGAAGGCACTTAGACTGCCAAATTATCTCTCTGGCCCCTAAATATATTTTTGTATGCAACATATTGTTGAATCTTGATCCAATCTGCCAATCTGATTTTGATTGGCAAGTTGGGACCATCCATGTTGATAGTTACAGCTCATGTGTTTTGATATATTCTTGTTATTATATTATGTTCTTCTCATTTGTTCTTTTCTTTCCCTTCTCTGTAATCATTTCCCTTGCCTGGTAGACTCATTCTATCCAAATTCTTGACATTGTTATCTTCATGGAATCTTTCTAGAATATTCTTCAGTACTTTTTGAAGTGCTAGGTTTTATCTTAGTTCATGAATTTCTTTAGATGTTCTTTATCATGGAATTATCTTATTTCTCCATCAATTTTGAAAGATAATTTTGCAGGGTACATCAATCGGGGTTGGAGGTTGTTTTCTTTTAAGGCTTAAAATACTTCACCCACAGCTTTCCATGTTAAGAACTTGTGCTGTGAAATCTATAGTTCTGATGGGATTTTCCTTATATGTGATTAGTTTCTTCATTTTAATAGCTTTTAATATCTTGTTTTGGTGCTGACTTTCTGAAGTCTTGACTGCCATATGTGTTGGCATAGATTTTTTTCTGATTACAAGTTATTTGGAATTTTATATGCCTCACTTAACTGTATGTCGAAGTGTTTTTTCCATGCTTCAGATGTTTTCTTCTGCTACTTCTGTGTACAGATTTTTATGCCTTTCCTGCTTTCATTATTTTAATTGATTCCAATTAATCTTCACTAGTCTTCTTTGTCTAGACGTTGTTGGATTGACATTTTATTGTTCCTTTGTTTTCTAACAAATTAATTACTTGGTCACCAACCACAACCCTGTCTCCTAAAGTTCTGATGTTCTATTTTCACATTGTCTATGCTTCTGATACTTTCAATAGAACATTTAATCTGAATTCCTATTAGATCCTATTTTATAGTAGCCAGGTCTTTTCTATGTTAGGCATTCTTTGTTCCCATGTTTTTCCTGAGCTGTTATAATTTTTAATCTGTATCTATGCTAGATTTACTGTTTTCTTAATTGTGATCATCCCCTTAATAATCTGTATAAGTATTTCTGCTTTGAATTTGTCAAGAATCTTATTAATCTACTTTATCAATTTTGATTTCTGAAAACTCATCTTAGTATCTTTTGGTTTTTTTCAACCCGAGTGGCTCCTGAATCGATTTAGGAGAAATTAGACATTTTGAGGTGCAGCTCGTTTCAGTGATTTTATCATTGTCCATACTTGGCTATTGTTGTTTATTTTTGTTTTCTTTATTTAAACTTGTAAATTCCTTATAGTAGGTAGCTTTATTAGAGTGGTGAGTCAATTCACAAACTGAATCATTTCCATAATTCTTCTTGCAATGGAATTGGATGAGAATCTAATCAAATTTTCCCATAAAGTCAACATTGAAGCTGAGCATTAAATTTAATTCAGTTCTCATCCAATTTGGTTTGTGACCAGAATTGTGTTAAGAATTAAGTTTATAAACTGAGGTACCACTGTACTAGTATCAAGACCTTTTTAGGTAATGACTATTTTTCAGAGATGACTTTAGGGTAGGCCTGGCTTTTGGGCTCTGAGTCCATTCCAGGATCCTACCTCTTTTGCTTATTAGAAAAGAAAGGTTTCAGCTGTGTGCCTAGCAACCAGTTCTTTCATATTCGACTGTAGTATTGTTTATGACAGCCAGACAAGCTAGGTACTGGTGTACAAGGAAGATCAATGGAAAAACATGGAGTGCTTCAGTATTTGCATGTTACATTGTTCGGGGACCATGCTAATCATCTCTGTATTACTCCAATGTTGGCATATGTGTGCTGAAATGAGCACTGGGTATAATGTAATGTAAAATAATTCATCCTTACAATTCATATTGATTGTATTTTGTGCAGAATTGTAGGGACATAGATTGAAATTATCCACTGTAAAAAAGGCACAAAGAAAGCTGTATATTAAGTATACTTGTTGCTTATGATGAACCTTGATGAAACTAAACTTACAAGATAATTGAAGAATTGCCATTTCATCTATCCATTTGTATTAAATTTTTGTTATAATTTAAAATATTTTGTTATAATTTAAGATATTAAGATAAATATGCACAGCATGAATGATTATGATGATCATTATTCACTATTTCCAAATGATTAAATCATTTCAGCATACTCCAAAAATCAGGTCATCATTAGAAAAGAGTATACTTAGGCAGTATCTGGGTTTTTTTGAGCTTTTTTTAATCTTTAGAAAGTATATATTTTAATTTTTAAAAAGAGTCCTGTAAAATTCCAGCAGGAACATTTTGAGCAACTATATCAAAAGTTTGCAAATCTGAATAAATACCATAAGAACTTTAATTTACTTTTAAGCTGCTATTCTCCTAAGTTGGTATATAATGTACCAGAATAAACATACCTACAGAAATCACTAAAATAAGTATAAGACCAAATATAACTGAATAATTGCTTTATAACAGATTTATGTAAATATCAAAATCCTTAGGTGGTTATTTAAAGTGCCTTCACTGTATTTGTTTTGTGCGGTCAAAGTTATTAGGAGAGAATTTAGAGAACTATACAATTAAATCTCATAGATGGGCTATTATAGAAAGATGCTTTTTAAAGTTAATTTAGTGGATAGAATAATCATTTCAAATGGTATTTTTAAGCCATTAAAAAAGATCTGATACCTGCTTTTGTGTTTTCACCATAGGATTTTTACAGTCAAAACTATGCACAATACAGTATTTACCTATAATGGATAAATAAATGTGGCTTGATATATATATTTCTTTGTAGTAAGTGTTAAACAAATTCTATGGTGGATTTTTGGAGCTTTGAATGTTAGACATGGATGGAGGCTTACAAACAATTTACTTCAGCTCTACCTTATAAACGAGAAAATAGTAAATAGCCGACACTAAATATACTTATTGATTTCTAAGCTACCTACCTTGATTCTTCTCAGTGACTTTTCTAAATGATAGCATCACATAACATCACATTTCTTAGATGCAATTATCTGTTTGGACATTGTTGCTATGAGCAAACAAAATGCAGCGTGTATTATTTCTAGCCCTTAATCTTTTTTATTTATCTGTAATCTGCCGTGGCATAGATTTTAGTATTTTTATCTAACATATGCATTGGATAATTCAAATAATTTCTTATTGAATGTCATTTCGTTTAGGTCATGGAGCAAAATCACTTTAGGACTAAAAGTACATTATAGTAATGTTTAACTTCCCTTATAAAAAGTAAGTGAACAGGCCAGTCAGACTGCTCAGCAGATTAAAGCACCTGCTTAGGCAGTGTGCTGTGGCTGGGGTTTGATTCTCAGCATGCCTCATCAGCCACACCCCCAGGGTATGCTGAGATGGTGACTGAGACTGAGTGTGGTGGCATGTACCTGTAATCCAAGCACTTGAGAGGCTGAAAATGGGAGAATCACTATGAGTCTGATCTACATAGTGAGACCCTGTAGACCGTGTATACCCTTACTAAATGCATTTTTAAAAAGAGAGAGTGAAAAACATAACATACTAAAAGAATTTAAAGAGCCAAAGAGATTTGAATTCCAATTCTCCTTTTCTTACTTGCCAAGTAACCTTCAGAGAATGATCAAATGTTTGCACATCTAGGATACTGAGGTGCTTTTTAAAGATTGATGAGATTTCTAATATCTGATCTGCTATGTACCTAACATGATGGCATTTTATTATTAAACCAAAGGAGAGGGCTGGTGAGATGGCTCAGTGGTCTAAATCACCTACTTAGAACAAGCTAAGCAAAAGCACAGGGACTGCGGTTCAATCCCCAGCACCACATGCCAGCCAGCCCAGCCCCCTGGTGGGTTGAACTGGCCACACACAAAAAAAAATAAATAAATAAATATTAAACCAAAGGAGACATTTACAGAATTCCTCAGGATCATCGATCTCATTCCTTTTGGAAAAGATCTTGACCCAAAGTTCTTTCATTGTCAATTGGTCTATCAGTCAGTTTCCCACCACTGGGACCAAAAAACTGACCCCGGCAACTGGAAGGAAGAGAGGTTTGATTTAACTCATGGTTTTATGGAATTCTGGCACTAGCCAGCTAACTCCAAAACAGAAGTGGCCTGGTGGACCAGCGTGAAGGAAGGAAGTTCCTCAACTTATGCCAACACAGAAGCAGGAACAAAAGAGTGACTCTGATGACTAGAGTACACCCTTCCAGGCCATATCCCCAGTGACCCACCTCCAGGGAGACCCTGCCTCCTTGTTGTACAGCTCATGGAGCCAGGTTCAACACATACAGCACTCCCTGGCCCAACTGCCTTTCAAAGGCACTGCTCCAAACACATGAAATTTTTGTTGGGAGGTTGGGGGGCGGTGTAGATCTAAACTATAATAGTGGTGTAATGTTATCACATTGTATCCCTTTACTTCATGTCTTTCAAGAAGCATGCCTTTTGAGGTAGGCATTCCACTTTGTCATACAAATGCATTCTTTTACACTTCCTGTGTGTAAAGGTCTGTGCTGAGCATGATGAAAGGTGGATAGATAAGTAAGACATGGATGCAGTCTTTACTCATCCTGTTATAGCTGAGAGAAGAAGTAATATCAACACCAGCATCAACAGCATCACAAAGAGGAAAAGTCGATTCGCAATCATATAAGACAAATGTTGTCTCATAGGCTGTAGAAATATTATGGTCATTTGTATAACTTTAAAGAGACATTTACCATGTATGGTCCTTGTCTTTAAAAATTCTAGAGAAATTATAGCAAACAAAATGGTTAAGCATATATTGTCATGGGAAAAGGCAGACTCGTGTGGAAGGCAGACATTTATGAAATAATCATAAATGTATGATTATTTTAATCATATTTTTAATCATATTTAATGTATGATTTTAAACTATGGTAATGCTGTGTGAGAAAAAGAATTTGTGAGCAAATACAGAATTCTAGCATGATTTAGTGTCAAGTTTGAGAGGTAGTTTCTGGAGTAATTATTATTTTTTTTATTTTTGTCTTGCTTATTTAGATCTTGAGCTAAGATATAAAGGGTGAGGAGGGCCAGGGAGGATCCCAGTAAATGGCATAATGAGAACTAAAGTACTATGGGGTTTGGTGTCCCTAGCCCTACAAGGCCAAGGGGACTACACTAGGGAAGCAGAGGAGGGGAGGTGGGGAGCAGCATTAAGGGGCTCGAAAGCAAAGCCGTGCTGTGGATTCTGCTATTTTATGAGCAACAAATGCTGAGCTGTAAGAGGCTCAAGTCAACAATTTTTGACGTTGCCAGTTCTGTGGATAATCTACTACCATTGTGGACAACTGGGTTATATTGGATTATTTTGCTGAATTAATGCACCTACAATATTTGAATGGCAATGGAATACCCATCTCTGACAAAAGTAACCAGAAATGGGAGATACGAATGACCATTTTGTAGTGAGGAAAAAAAAATATATACACATATATATATATATATATTTGTAATAACAAAATAGGATAGATAAATAGCTACTTTCTCTTAATTCAATGAGAAGAAAGATTTGTACTAATAGTGTTTAAACAAGATATCATGTCTGCATCTTGTGCTATGATAACTACTACAAAGACAAGAATATACAATGTATTAATTTTTGTCACTATACGACTATCCTGTTTTGGAACTGTCTCATTGCTATTTCTTTCTGAATAAGATTAATTAAAGAAAAAGAGCAACAGGATCTTATTGAAAGAATTTGCCAAAAGGTACTTACTGGGGATTTGTTTTGTTTCACCATGTTTGGTTGTAATCCCTTTGGCTGCTTTGTGAGATTGAATATAGCAAGATATTAATTCACGTAAATGCTATCAGTGTGGGTCGAGCACTAGCAATAGGGCAAGAGGCAAAGAGGGTCACAGCTCGTTACGAAATATAGATAGAAAAATTGAATAAGGGGCTGAGCATTTCAAGGAGGCGGGAGTGGAAAGATCTAGATTTCTGGCTTTCCTAAGAATGAAGCAGAGAATATAGCCATCAGAATTATGCTCCTGAGGTCCCGAGTCAGGTGGCCGCACACTGCCATGTATCCTGGGTGTCTGCTTTTGAATCTGCGCTTCGTTAATAGACAAATAAGTAGCAGTATGTGATAACTCTGCTATGTTGAAAAAGTCGGAATTGTTTAAGCAAGCAAGGAAAGAAAGATGAATACCAATTAATCTCTTCTAGTACTGGCATTATGTCAGATATTGTACTGGGTTCTGTGTATAAACTGAAGAATCGGATGCCTGTTAGTGCATATTCTGATAAGCTCAATAGCCAACGGCAAGTTTCTCCATTCCGGCCCTCAGGACATTTGGGGCCAGACTTCTCCTTCTTACGTGCCAGGCTCTTGCATGGTGGGCATTTATTAGCATCATGGTCTTTGTCTGCTCCAGGCAGTGACTGTAACTTTGTGTTTCCCTCCTCTCTTCAGTGGAGACAACCAAAACTTCCTCCAGAGCCATTCTTCCACAGATAACGAGAGATCTTTGAGTGCAGGGTAAAAGTTCAGAGTATTTTATGTATCCATTAAGCACATTCTAAAAATGCACATTTTATTCTATTTGTATGTCTGAAAATTGAAAGACATAATGACAGGCTTTTATGTTGAGCTCATTCTTTTCTCTGAAAAAGATATCAGACCTGGTATCCTAAGAGTTTTCCATTGTTAATGATATTGTCATTCAGGAGTGCATATGTAGTTTCTCTAGTATATCAGTAACTGAGATTTCTCACTTCCAATACAGGTGGCCTTTGGAAATTTGAGTTCTATTCTGTTTTGGTTACAATGAGGTTTTTTTCCAAAAAAAATCTTT